AAGGGATTTTTTTCCCCCCACAAGGGATTTATTCCCCCCCCCCCCCAAAGGGATTTATCCCCCGCAAAGGGATTTATCCCCCGCAAAGGGATTTATCCCCCGCAAAGGGATTTATCTTCCCAGAAGGGATTTTTTCCCCAAAAAAGGGATTTATCCCCTCCGAAGGGATTTATCCCGCCCGAGGGGATTTTCGCCCCCGAAGGATTTCCCGCCGGTGCGGCACTCACAGGTCTGGCAGACGGTGCAGCTCCGGCAGAAGCCGTGGTGGTGCTGCGAGCTGAAGTAGCCGTCCTGGCACGGCGAGCACTCGGTGTCGGCCCAGGCCGTGCAGCGCCGCCGCATCCTCTGCCCTGGAACACCCAAACCGGGACTCACTGCGGTAAATCCCGCATTTCCTCCCTTGGGAACGCATCGGGATCGGCTGGGATCGTGAGGGGAAAAATCCTGAATTTCCTTTGGGAACAAATCGGGATTGGCTGGGATCGTGAGGGGGAAAATCCTGAATTTCCTTTGGGAACAAATCAGGATTCAGTGGGGTCATAAGGAGAAAAATCCTGAATTTCATCCTTTGGGATCCTGGTATGGGTGTTGGCCCTTCTCCTAAGAAACATCCCAAAAATTTGGATTCAGTGGGATTGTGAAGGGGAAATCCTGAATTTCCTTTGGGAACAAATCAGGATTGGCTGGGACCGTGAGAAAATCCTGAATTTCATCCTTTGAGATCAAATTGGGATTCACTGGGATCGAGAGGGGGAAAATCCTGAATTTCATCCTTTGGGAACAAATGGTGCCCAGAATTTGGCAGTTCTTGGTTTTTATTTAGGAGAAGAATCCCTGGAAGTTTGGACCAGGCAAAAAATCAACACAAAATGGAGCAGCTGAAAAGGACTGGAGATGGCTGGATATGGAGAAAATGCCCCAAAATTTTTTCTTACTGCATCCCAAATTTCCCTTCCCAAGCCACCTTTTCCTCCAGTTCAGTGTGAGGGAAAAGGTTTAGGACAGACCTAGGACTGACCTCCAGCCTAGGACTGGTTTTAGGACAGGTCCTGCCTTCCCTCACCAGCCAAATCCCACAAATCAGCCCCTAAAAATTCAGAAATGCCCCAAACCTTTCTCCCAGTGGATCCCAAATATCCTTTCTCAAGAGAATGAGGGGAAAAGGTTTAGGAAATTCTCATGACTGAGGCATTTAGGAAGCAAAAAGAGATCAAAAAAAAAAAAAAACGACTCTCAAAAAGGAGGATTTTCCCATTTTTTTCTGGTCTAAAAGTGATTTTTATCAGTCTAAAAAGCAGACGTAGGTATTGCACTCAGAAAAAATTAGATATTACACTTTAATTAAGCTTTTAATTTTAATTAATTAGGTATTGCGCTAAGAAAAAATATAATAAAAGTATTTACACTAAAAATATAGATTTACACTAAAAATAGGTACTACACTAAAAAAAAAACAGGCATTACACTAAGTTAGATATTCCACTAAAAGATAGGTATTAACTAATAAAAAATACGTATTATAACTAAAAACAGTAGGAAAAAAATCGATTTTCCACTAAAAAATAAACATTAAGGAAAAAAAAGATATTCCACTAAGAAAAAAATTAGATACTCCATTAAAAATAGGTATTCCAGTAAAAAAATAGATATTCCGCTAAGAAAAAATTAGATGTGTCACTAAAAAATAGATAGCTTCTTAAGAAAAAAAACCCAGAAATTCCACTAAAAAATAGGTATTGCACTAGAAAACAGATATTCCACTAGGAAAAAAATTAGAAATTCCACTAAAAAAATAGGTATTTCACTAAGGAAAAATCAGAAATTCTACTAAAAAATAGATATTCCACTAGGAAAAATTAGAAATTCCACTAAAAAAAATAGGTATTTCACTAGAAAATAGATATTCCACTAGGAAAAAATTCGCTGTTCCCCTGAAGCCCGGCTCTCCCAGCCCCGCGGCGGGCACTCACCGGGGGGGCAGTCGCTGCAGCATTTATCATGGAAGCGGTATTGGTGCTCCCGGCATTCCAGACTCAGGGAACCGGGAATGGGCACAGCCAGGAGCCAGCAGAGAGCGGGAAAATTCCAAGGAATCCTTGGAAGCGCCGTACCCGCCATTTCCCTCAGGGCGCCGCTCCCCTCAGGGCGCCGCTGCCCTCAGGGCACCGTTCCCCTCAGGGGCGGCTCCGGGCGGGGACAGCTGAGGGAAATTCCCGCTTTCTCCACGCCCCTTCCCGCTCCCGCTCCGGGGTTTTTCGGCAGGAAGAAGAAATGCTGAGCTTGAGGTTTGAAGGAGTAAAAGGAGCCCTCGAGGGAGGGGAATCCCGTTGGGAATGGCTGGAGAAGAAGGGTTGGAGGGAGGAGCGCTGTGGGACTGGCCTGGCTGAGGTGTGGAAATAGCGGGAGTTAGGGAATTGAACTTTCCTGACCGCTGGAGTTGGAAGCGGGAGCTCAGTTTTAGGTGTTGAGGTTCTAGGAGAGGCCCCTGGCACCACTGAATCCACAAAATAGTGGGAATTAAGGAATTTCGTTTTCCAGCCTATTGGAATTGGGTCCAGCATCTCAATTTTAGGTGTTCCAGCTGCCTGGACTTCCAGCTTTACCATCACTGACTCCAGAAAATACTGGGAATTTCCTAATTCCAGCCTACTGGAATTGGATCCAGGATTACATTTTAGGTGGTCCAGTTCTAGGACAGCTCCCTGGAATTGCAGCTGTGCCTGCACTGAGTCCAGGAAATAACTGGAACTTCATTTTCCAGTCTATTGGAATTGGGTCCAGCATCTCAATTTTAGGTGTTCCAGCTGCCTGGAATTCCAGTTTTACCTTCACTGACTCCAGAAAATACTGGGAAGTAGAGAAATCCATGCTAATGCTGTCCCAAAATTCATTTAGGATGGGGTTGGCAGGATCTCTTCATAGATAAATGACAATTATCAGCTGATTTTACTGGAATTTTTGTGTTTAAACTTATTTTATAGGAGAATATCAGTGGAATTTATTCCTCTTATTTCTCGCCCTCCCTGACAAACCTTAAAAGCAGCAGCATTCCCAAAGCATGGAAAGAAATATTTAATGGAAAAAAAAAAAAAATGGATATAAAACCTTTTATCCAAGGAATTTAATAAAAATATCAAATAAAGAGCAGGAAAAGGGAAAGAGGGACAGCAATTCCTGTATTTAAATTATATTAAGAATAAACTTAATCAAATAGAACATCTCAGATTTTCATGAATTCTTTCCCTAAGAGGGTTTTTTTCCCCCAGGAAAGATGGAAGCAGAGGAAAAGTCCATTTTATTTGGGCCAGAGATGCTTTCAGAGCTCACCCAAAGCCTGGAATTCCCCCCAAATCATCATTAGCAGCTCATTAACAGCATTAATTAGCACAGAGCTCATTAATTTTAGCAGTGAATTTTAATTAAGCAGCCATCAAACTCCATGGGAATTCCCACTGCTCTGTCTACCTGCTTAAATTCTAAAAAAACCTACCCAATTGTTTGGTTTTCAACCAAAATCTCATTTTTAAAAGCCATAATCTCCCATTCCCAATGCAGATGTCAACAAAAAAATGGGATTTTATATTAATTTAATTTTAATTAATGTTATTTTAATTTATTTTCATTTAATTTCAATTCATTTAATTCCAAAGGGTTTTTCTTTAACATTTTAAATAAATTCTTCCCCACAGCCCCCTGAAAAGAGGTGAAAAATTCCATTAAATTCCCAGTAACTCTTCAGGAAGGTGAGAAAAACACCTTGAATTGAGTGTGGATATTCCCAGGAGGTCAAACATTCCTTGGAACTACCAAAATTCCCAAAATCCAACTTTGATATGGGATTCCCTGGATCAGCAGCTGGAAAAAGCAAACAAGGGAGTGTTCAAGGAGCCTCCCAAATGGAATTGGGTGTGGAGGACAAACATTCCTTGGAATCACCGTTCCCTTCCCAAAATCCAAATTTTATCTGGGATTCCCTGGATCAGCAGCTGTGAGGGCAATTCCCAGGAGGTCAAACGTTCCTTGGAATCACAGTTCCCTTCCAAAAATCCAAGTTTTATCTGGGATTCCCTGGATCAGCTGCTGTGAGGGAAGAAATTTAAGGAGCCTCCCAAATGGAACTGGGTGAGGAGGACAAACATTCCTTGGAATCGCCGTTCCCTTCCCAAAATCCAACCTTTATTTGGGATTCCGTGGATCAGCAGCTGAAGGCAACAAGGGAATATTTCAGGATTCTCCCCAACCAGACCAGCCAGAATTCCAGCTGGATCCAACCCCACAAACCAGGGAGGAAAACTGCCAGAATCCAGGAATTTCCACGATTTCTCCCAGCAAGGAGCTGCAGATCCCAGGGATGGACGGAAAACCGGGAATTTGAGAAAACTCTGAGCAAGGAGCAGCAACAGCGGTGAAGAATTCTTGTGGCTCGGCTGAGTCCTTTTTCCCCGGGATTTTTTTTGTCGTTTTTTTAGGAAACGGAAAGTTCCGGAAAAGGGGAGAGGAAGCTCAGAATTCCTCGTGGACATTACGGGCGTAATCCATGAGTTTGCTGCCAGTGAAATATTCACTGTACTTGAGGATCTCCTCCAGCTCCAGGTGGTGGTTCTGGTTCTCGTCGGCCACGGCGATCATCTGCCGCGCCTCATTCAACGCGTTGTGCTCGTTCATGGGATCCATGTACTCCTGAAAAAAACATGGAAAAACGGCCTCAGCCCGGGCCCTGATGTTTGCCAGAAATCCCCTCCTCGGATCCCTAAGCGGGGAGAAAGAGCTTGAGGAAGTGTTTTAACAGCCGTTTCCCCGCTGTTCCCACGGAAATCTGGGATTTTTTCGGCTCATTCCAAGGAATATTTCTGGACTTTTGGCTGTGAATTCCAGTTAAAAATGAGCAATTATCATTTGCAGAGCCTAAATTCTCTTTTTTTCCAGTTTTCCAGTGATTGTTGTGACAGAAATCCCAATTTTTCTCAGCTCATTCCAAGGAACATTTGTGGAATTTGAGCCACAAATTAAGCTCAGGAGCTTAAAAATGAAAAATTATCAATTTTCAGCACCTAAATAACATTGTTTTTCCTGCTTTATCAGCTGTTCCCACAAAACATTTTAAAATTAAATTAATACGAAATTAAAATTAAATTAACATGAAATCAAAATACTCAATTTTTCAATGAAATATTTATAAAAAACTGAATTGTAATTCAACTATTCTGGGGTTTTAATATATTTGATTTAAAATGAAAATATCATGAAATTACCATGAAATTAAATTTAATTTTAATTATTGAATTAATAAATTATATTTAATTATTTTTATTGAAGTTTAAATTAAATTGAAATATTAAATATTTTTAATTTTTTTTAAAAAATATTTTTCTTTTTATAAAATGAAAACTATTTTTCAATTTTTTGTTAAAAAATTGAGCTGTAATTCAACTATTTTGGGGTTTTAATATAATTAATTTAAAATTAAAAGATCATGAAATTACCATTAAATTAAAATTAAATCCAATTTTAATTACTTAATTAATAAATTCTACTTAATTATTTTTTATTGAAGTTTAAATTAAATTGAAATATTAAATATTTAAAAATATTTTTAATATTTTCTCTTTTATAAAATAAAAACTATTTTTCGTTTTTTTGTTAAAAAATTGAGCTGTAATTCAAATCTTTTATTTAAATTAAAATGAAATTAAAATGAAATGAAAGCAAAATTAAAATGAAATTAAAATGAAATGAAAGTGAAATGAAAGCGAAATTAAAATAGAACTAAAATGAAATCGAAATACTCAATTTTTTAATGAAACGCCTATTAAAAGAATAAGCTGTAACTCAAGTTTTGGGGCTTTTAAAGCTGGATTTGGAAGGAACGGGATTTCCAAGGATGAGGAATTCACCTCCAGCTCCTCCATGGTGACGATCCCGTCGTGGTTGGCGTCGATGACCTCCTGGAATTCCTTCCTCCTGTCCCTCACCCAGTCATCATCGATGTCCTGTGCCTGCTGGTTCTCCACAGTGCCCACGGGCAAGGAGATGAACTCCGACAGCGTCAGCTTCTTATCCCCGTCCTGATCTGGGAGAAAGCCCCCCAAACGCAAAGAGATCCCTTCAATCCCCCTGCAAATGGGAATTGGCACCACAAACATCGAAATAGAATTGTTTTGTTCCCCATGAAAAAAAGGAGAAAAAATTAAAATTTATTTAATTCTAGTAAAAACTGGAACTTCCTCCAGATCTGCACCATGAAAAAGCAGAAAAAATTCAAATAAATATGCACAATTCCCACAAAAAAGCACAAAAAATTCAAATAGATTTGCGTAATTCCCATAAAAAATTCAAATAGATTTGCATAATTCCCACAAAAAAAGCACAAAAAATTCAAATAGATTTGCGTAATTCCCACAAAAAATTAAATTATAATGCTTCCATTCCCCCAAAAATGGTAATTTCCTCCTGATCTGGGAAAAAAGCAAAACCTTCCCAATAGCCACATAAAAAGGGGAATCCATGGATATAATTCCCAGGAGATCCTAGATTACCTAAATCCTGGATATCTCCTGCACCATGAATTGTGGATAAAAAAAAAGATGTTTTTTTATCCACATAAAACCCGAAATGCATGGATACAATTCCCAAATTAAAACCCAGAAATTCCATTTAGAACCCAGAACTGGAATTCTGCGATGCATAAAAACCCCACGAAATTCCAAAATTTATGTCAAAACCTTCACTCGTAAAATCAGATTGTTTCACAAAACCCCCTCCCGAAATCCCCATAAAAACGGGAATTCATGGAAATAACTCCCAATTTAAAACCCAGAAAAAGAATTCCACAATGCATAAAAAAAGCCCACAAAATTCCAAAAATTTTGGAAAAAATGCCACAAAAATGCCAAAAACTTGCGGTTTTCACTCATAAAATCAGATTATTTCACAAAAAGCCTCCCAAAATCCCCATAAAACCAGGAACACAGGGACAGAATTCCTAGGAATCCCGGCTTACCCAGGTCGCGGATGATCTCCTGCACCATGAAGTGCAGCAGCCACATAAAAGCGGGAACACAGGGACAGAATTCCTAGGAATCCCGGCTTACCCAGGTCGCGGATGATCTCCTGCACCATGAAGTGCAGCAGCCACATAAAAGCGGGAACACAGGGACAGAATTCCTAGGAATCCCGGCTTACCCAGGTCGCGGATGATCTCCTGCACCATGAAGTGCAGCATTCCGCGGCTGTGCTCAGGGTGCAGGAAGGACAGGAACTCCTGCTCGCTCAGCAGCAGGTCCGGAGGGGGATTGTCTGCCTGGTACCAGCGATCCTTCAGGTTGTCCAGCACCTCCTGCGCTGCAACGGCCACGGAACCTTGGGATCGCGCTCCGGCCCCACCGCGGGACCGCCCGTGTCCACCGCACCACGGGGCACAAACACCTGCTGGGATTCCTTTCCCCTGGCCCAACCCATTTAGGATTTCCATTTTCCCAATCCATTTTTAGGATTTAAATTGTCCCAATAAATTCTTAAGATTTGTCCCAATCACTCTTTAGGATTTCAGTTGTCCCAATCTATTTTTAAAGCGTTTCAGTTGCCCCAATCACTCTTTAGTATTTCAGTTTTCCCCAATCCATTTTTAGGATTTAAATTGTCCCAATCCACTTTTCAAATTTATCCCAATCACTCTAGGATTTCCATTTTCCCAATCCATTTTTAGGATTTAAATTGTCCCAAGTCCCTCTTTAGGATTTCAATTGTCCCAATCCCTCTTTAGGATTTCAGTTGACCCAATCCATTTTTAGGATTTAAATTGTCCCAATCCAATTTTTAATATTTCAGTTTTCTCAATCAATTTTTAAAGGATTTCAGTTGTCCTAATCCATTTTTAAAGGATTTCAGTTCTCCCAATCCATTTTTAAAGGATTTACATTGTCCCAATCAATTTTTAAGATTTGTCCCAATCACTCTTTAGGATTTTGGTTGTCCCAAACAATTTTTAAGATTAGTCCCAATCAATTTTTTAGGATTTCAGTTGTCCCAATCCATTTTTAAGATTTATCCCAATCACTCTTTAGGATTTCCATTGTCCCAATCCATTTTTAGAATTTAAATTTTCCCAACCCATTTTTAAGATTTGTCCCAAACCACTTTTAAAACTCCAATTATCACAATCCATTTTTTGGATTTAAATTGTCCCTATCCAATTTTTAATATTTCAGTTGTCCCAACCAATGTTTAAAATTTATCCCAATCACTCTTTAGGTTGTCCCGATCCATTTTTAGGATTTAATTGGTCACAACCCATTTATTTCAAGCTCTCTGATGTTTTTTAAGCTTAAACCTTGCAGGTATTTATTTATCATAATATTCAATATATTTTCCTGCAAGGAAAGTTAAACTGGGGGTGCATGAACAGAAAAACCAGCACCAAAATCCCATGGAATTCTTTCATGTCATCCCACAATCCAATTATCTGCCAATATCCATCAATTAATTAAAATAAGCGTTATCTTATGTTATGTTATATTATATTTTTTCTATTTAGTTACTATATTTAACTATTATATTTACATATTTTGATTATATTATTCATTATTTTTATTTTTATTATTATTATTAATGATAACAATAGCAATAATAATAATAATAATAATAATAATAATAATCATCATCATCATCATCATCATCATAGTATTTAAAATAATTTCTGGAATCCAAATTTCTGCAGAAAATGCCTTAAACTACACACCCCCAGGTGCTTTTTATTTAAACAAAAAAACCCAAAAATCAATTTTATGGTGTTTGGAGGAGGAGGAAAAACCCCTGAGGAAGTGGAAGATGAATAATTTGATTTTCCCAGAGAAGCTTTTGGTGGCCAGGTGCGGAATGGAGGCCCTGACTCGGCACTCAGAGCTTTCTGAAGTCACTCCCAGGTGATTTCCCTGCACCTTCTCAGCTCCTTTTTTTTTGCATTTCAGTTTTTTAATCACTGGAAAATGTCACCCAATGGATTCTGAAATGACTCATTCCTGCAGGGAAAGGGAAAGGCTCAGGGGGGATTTACGGGAAATTTAAATGGTTTTTTTAAAGGGGCAAAACAGGAAAATTCCTCTTAAAAATTGCAATTTTCATGGCAGATTCTGGTTAGGGCTTCTGCCTTCTGACTTCAATCTTATTATTTATATATTAATGAAATTAAATAAAACATATGATAAGTTAAATATATATTAATCAAATAATATTACTTAAGTTAAATACATTAAAGAAATATATTAAGTAAATTAAATAATAACTATTGTATTAATATTTAAATATTTCTTGAAGGAGATTCCCCTTAAAAATGGCAATTTTCACAGCAGATTTGTGTTAGGATGAATGGAGGATTTCTGCCTTTAGACTTCAATCTTATTATTTATATATTGATTAAACTAAATAATATCATTAATTAAATATTAAGTTAATTAAATTAATTAAATAATAAATATTACTTGAATTAAATACACTAAAGAAATAGATTAAATCAATTAAATAACAAGTATTATATTAATCTTTAAATATTTCTTGAAGGAGAGTCCCCTTAAAAATTGCAATTTTCACAGCAGATTTGGGTCAGGATGAATGGAGGATCTGTGTCGTCTGACTTCAGTTTTAGGGCTCATTTTAGAATAAATTTAAATACTTATTTAATGGAAAACCAGGAAGATTCCTTTTAAAAAAATGACATTTTCACAACACATTTTAGATAGAAAAAAAGCAGAATTTCTTTTTTCTGACCCAAATGTTTGCTTTAACAGTAAACTGAAATTTTTCTTGAGGTTACAGAGAGATTCCTCTTAAAAATTCTCATTTTCACAGATGGAAAAAAACAGAATTTTTCTTTTATTATTTAAATCCTCCTCAAGCAGAACAACCCAAACATTTCCCTCCCATTTTTATTTGATTTAACAGTAAATTTAAATTTATTTAAGGAGGAAAACAGGAAGATTCCTCTTAAAAATCCTCATCTTCACACCAAATTTTAGATGGAAAAAATGCAAAATTTTTGTTTTCTTACAAAAATTCTCATTTTTGCACCAAATTTTAGCTGGAGAAAAATGAAAACTTTTTCTTTTCTTATTGAAATCCTCCCTGAGCATAACAACCAAACATTTCCCTCCCTTTTTGTTTTTCCCACCCAGCTTTCAGGAACACAAACCCCATTCTGCACTTACTTTCTTCATCTATTTTCAATTCCTCGTTGTTTTTGATTTTCTCTGCAATTTCCTTTTCATTGAAGCCTTTACTTGCCAAGAATTTAATTTTATATTCATCCCAGGACACGTGACCTGTCATTGAGAAAATTTCAGATTGAAACTATGAATTTTTGATTTCATTATCTCAAAATAAGCAAATTTTTAACGTTTTTTAGTCAAACATCCCAACCCCACATGGAATTTTAGGAATGACAACATAAAAGCTGTGACCTGATTCATTTTTGAGGATCTTTAAGCCACAAAGGTTTTGTGAAAAATCCAATTTATTTAATTTTTTTCACGTTTCTTTATGAAACAAAGACCTGCCTGCAGTGCATGGATTCCCACAAAAATCCAAATTTGCCATTCCCAAACTAAATTTGATCCCTGAAATAAGTTCTGGATCCCAGAATTGACTTAAAAAGTGATATTTTAAAGGAAAAAAAAATGTGAATTTTACCATCCCCATCAGGGTCCACAGCTCGGAAATGCATTTTGTTCTCCTCTACGGCCTCCTGGAAATGCTCATCTGTTTTTTCCATGATCCAACGTTGCATTTCCTTGGCACTGATTTTTTTATCATTATTTATATCCACCCTAGGGAGGAAAAACAAACAGGATTGAAATTTAGAGCTTAGGAGGGAAAAATCTGGTTTTGTTTTCGTTTATAAATTGTTTTATTCAGTAAAAACTAACAGAAAAATCAATTAATTAAATAATAATTTAATTTTTTAAATTAATTTTTGGCTCTCTGCGAGAAAACAAGTGGCAGCTCAGCTTTTATTTCAGAATTAAATGTAAATAATTAATTTCATTAAATTTAGCAATATTTAGGTTATTCCTCAGTGAAAAACTTTTTTTTTTTTCTGGAATTAAATCATATTTCTGAGAAAATTTTTCCCACAAATCATCCCTGATGGAATTTTGGCTCACTCCAAATTCAGGATTGTCACTGCTTACAAAAATTTCTTCCAGACCTTGAATTCCCACTTAATTTCTCTTTCCAAGCCCTTTTTTTTTTTAATTTAATTGAATTTTTAATTTTTAACTCATTTAAAACTTGCACATCCATTTGTTCTCCATGAGTTTTCTCAAAGCTGCCTGGCTTTTGCTTTCCCAAGGAATTTCTTGGATTCAGAGCTGCAGAATTCAATTTTTCCTGACTAAAATTACCAGGAAAATCCAATCTGACCAATCCTCTCTCTTGCCATTCCATCAATCGTTATTTCATGAAGAACTGAATTAGAAAATTACGATTCAAAACCAAAAATAAATCAAATTTTCTGCCACTTTGAGGGTTTTTTTTGAGCAGAACATTAAATAAATATTCAAAAATATCACTAAAAAAATCAGATTTCGTGATGTTATCATTTCAAACGCTCTTTAAAACCTCTCAAACCCACTCTCTGTAATTCAAAATACCACTAAAAAATCAGATTTTATCTTGTTACCATTTCAAATTCTATTTAAAGCATCTCCAACCCACACTTTGTTCAATTAAAAAACCAAAACTCAAAGAAAAAACAGAATTAAAAAACCCCCGGTTGAGTCTGGCCTTTGTTATCTCTTGGAATCACAGAGTTGTTATTATTGAAACTCCAATTATTCAAGATGTGATTTGCCTTGAAATGTCAACTAAATGTGAAAAAAGCGACAAACAACCCCAAAAAATGCAGATTTAGGGAGTTGAAATATCACAATTTACACCAGGGAGATGCTCAGGGGTTGGGGGGGACCAAGTTTGGGATAAAAATCAGATTTAAAAAAGCATTTTCCCCCTCAATATTTCCAATTTGGGGTTTTTCCTCAAATCACAGCTGTGAAAATTCCTTCTTCCAATCCTTTTCCAGCTAAATTACAGCATAATTAGGGGAAAAAAAGGAAGAAAATCCAATTTATTGCTGATTTAAAGCATTGAAGCACAAAGTGGGAGCGTGGAATCAGGAAAAGCATGAATTTTGTAGGAAAACAGAATTTTTCTGATGGAAAACGGAATTCTTCTGATGGATAATAAACCAATTTTAGCCCAGTTTCTCTACTAAAACCACAACAAAATCCGATTTTTGGGGCTTCCTTCCCCTTTTCAATGAACACAGGGTTCTTAAATCCCAACGTTGCCACCCCCAAAAATTCCAAGTTTTGATGTGAATCATTTCAGGGCTGGATTTTGTTTCATACAAATCAAGATTTCAGCAAAAGAGGAATTATTTCAATCCCAGTTTTTCTGTGAAAATCACAGCTTGGGGAAGTTTTTCCAACTGTATTTTCAGGAATTCTCTTAAATAATAATTCATGTTTTGAATTTATTTGTGATTTTTATGGAACTTTTTCATTGATTAAAAACACATTCTGTGTTTGTCTTGCAAGAAAATAATTACAGAGCATCTGGAAGTCTGGGATTTACTGGGTTTTCCTGGGATTTCTCTCTAGAAATCCATCAAATCCCCCAAAACCCTTCCCTACATTTTTAATCTGATCCTCTGAGGGAATTTGAAATAAATCTCGGAATGGAATTGATCCCCAATCCAATTAATTGAAGTTTCCTTTTATAATAAACAAGGAAAAAAAATCCAAATTTGGGAATAGGAATTTCCTAACCAGGACTTGGATGTTCCCAATTAACATCCAGGAATAAAGAAATCTTAATTATTTAATATTTTAACAGTGAAGTAAGGGGCTTGAATAACAAAAAAAAATTAAATAATTTCCTTTAAATTTTATTTTTAAAAAAATCCTGGTTTGGCTGGAATTCCTTTCCTGAGGGGAATTTCAAAACCCCTGAATTTCCAACGTTATTATGGATGTTTTAAATCAAATCACTTTATTATTTTGTTATTCATTTGTTATTAATTTAGTAATTACATCCCCCTTGTGGTATTAACTGGAGCTGTTTTAATTTTAAAAATGCAAATAAAGCAAACTCTGCCCCCTGGTGTCTGAAAGTGCTGAAACAGAGCCAAAAAAAGGGATTTTTATTAAAGGAAAAAGTTTGAATGGCTTCAAATACAACTTCAGATTTTTACACCAAGTAAAGGAATTAATTTAAAATTTTAAGTTTTTTAAAAAGCCATAAAAGGGAAATTTTCTCTTTCTATTTTCATGTTTTATTTTCTTTTCTTGTTCTAAATTCTGAGGAATTGTTCTGTTCTTTCCTGGAATGTACAACTATCCTCAGTTTTTTATTTTTTAAATTGATTTATTATTTTTTATTTATTATTCATTTAAAACACTGCAGTTTTAGCCACTGAAGCATCCACTAGAAGTTTTGTGAGCACAAATCCCAATTTTTTTTCATTTCCCGTAATTTTCCCTGACCCTTTTCCGTGGATTGTCTTCCCAGCGTTTTCCTTTTATTTGTACAAGTCCCAACAGGAAAAGACCCAAGGTCCAGGTGAAAAAAAAAGGCCAAAGATTTTAAATAAAGAATTAAAATTGCCAAATTTTGAAGTTTGAAACCAAACTTAGCACAAAACTGGAGCCTAAGGAAATCCTTCCTCCCCAGTTCCTGGATGTACAATCCAAGGGGGATGAATTCTTGATTAACCAGGAGAAAGAAATAGGAATTTTCACACTTTTAAAGTTGTTTTTCCAACATAGAAACGGAATATTTTGGCACCAAACACAAACACAGTATTTCAAGGGTGAGGCCTTTCCCTTTCAAATTTGGAAAGATTAATAATAATTCCCAATTTTGAAAATATTAATTAAAATGTCCAATTATGAAATACTAATTAAAATCCCCAAACTTTGAAAATATTCATTTAAAATCCTCAATTTTGAAAATATTCATTAAAACTTCCCATTTTGAAATCTTAAAATTCACAATTATTAAATCCTAATTAAAATCCCTAATTTTGAACATATTAATTAAAGCTTCCCATTTGGAAATCTTAAAATTCCCAATTGTGAAACCTTAAAAGTCACAATTTTGAAAACCTAATTAAAATCCCCACACATTTAAAAAGCATTAATTATAATCCTCAATTTTGAAAATACTCATTCAATTTCCCAATTGTTAAATCCTAATTAAAATCCCCACATTTTAAAAACATTAATAGTGATTTAAACTTTTAATGATTTAATAATTCTAATTAATTATTTGGTAATTTTAATAAATGAAAATATAATATAATATAACATAACACAATATGATACTTAATTAAATAATTTTAATAAATTTTATAATTTCAATAAATTTAATACTTTTTAATATTTTAAAATCTTTAAAATTCCCAGTTTTAGGGGTTTTTTGGTCCCATTTCCCTCCGCACTGCCAGCGACTCACTTGGAAAAAATCACCATCAGCTTCTTCCTGTTCCTCCTGGGCTCTGAATCCTCCTCGAATTCCTCCATGTCTTTTCCCAGGAAAACCTCCTGATGGAATTCCTTGTTCAGGTGTCCATCCATCTCCATCTTGACGCCGTTCAGGTGATCCGGGGGCAGGATCTCGTTCTCCTCTTTGCCCTCAGCTGCTTTTTCCTTCAGCACGGAATTATTTGCAGGCCTGGCATAAACATCCATCGAGAGGAAGATGAAGAGCAGAGAGAAATAAAGAGATCCCAAACTGCACAGGAAAGCTTGCCTCGACATCTTTTTTTTTTCTTTTTTAAGTTATTTTTCCTCTTTTATTATTATTTCTCCACTGCTGAAATCGCTGTGGGTTAAATGATCTAAAAGGAAAAAAAGGAGAAAAAAAAAGAAATTAAACTCTGAAGCAGAATGTCACTGCAGGTTAAATGATCTAAAAGAAAAAAGGAGAAAAACAAAATTAAACTCTGACGCAAGAGGTCATTAATGAACGTCTAAAATTAAAAATAACCTATGCACAATATTAATAATTTACTTATATATAAGTATATATATATTTGCATATATATACTTATGAGTAAAAAAAAACTACACACAAGAATAAAGTCAGAGGAACCTACACAAAAATATAAGAGTTTTTGATGCCAGACATTAAAAAAGCCTGTTAAACAAAAAATATATATGGAATTAATGCATTAGCTTTCAGTCTGCAGAGGACTTGGGAAAGGAACATCCTTGAAAATGCAGGAAAAGCCCCAGGAGTATCCCAGAGATACCAGCAAAAATGCTCTTTGGAAAAAAATGAAGGCTTTTTGGAGAAGGCTGATCGAGGGAAACACGGTCAGACCCAAGAGAAAGCGGAGCTGGAAACACCCAGGAAGCAGCGGCGGGGCGGACCCGTCAGGGAGCCGTAAAATCAGAGTATCCGGCCCTGGAAGTGACCCACAGGGATCATCCCGACAATTCCAGGGAGAAAATCCCAAATCCAACAGACAGCGCGCGCAGGAACCCCTCAGAGCCCCTCGGGATCCCCGCGGGGCTGCGGGAGGAACCACCGCACTCACCGAGAGCCGCTCGGGAGGGAGCGGAGCTGCCCCAGCGCCGCGCCGGCCGCGGGGAAGCTCAGCCCGGGCCCGCCTGCCCCTCACGGCCCCTCACGGCGCTGGCCGGGCGGAGGGAAGCGGGGAGGAGGCGGAAGTTCGGTCACTGCCCGCGCGACGGGAAGGCGCGACGGTCATCTTAGCTGAGGGCAGCCGCCATCTTGAGTGAGGGCAGCATTCGGCAGGGAGGAGGCAAAGGGGCGTTTTCCTGGCGTTCGCATCGTTGTGTCGGGTATAGCTCCTCCTGCTTCCCGGCTGCGTGTGCGTGCTGGTTTTATTGGATCGTGGAACGGTTTGGGTTGGAAGGGACCTTAAATAGCATCTAATGCCAATCCCTGCCAGGGACAGAGAAGCTGTGGCTGCCCCTGGATCCCTGCAATTGTCCACGGCCAGATTGGAAGTTGAGGCTTGGAGCACCCTGAGATAGTGGAAGGTGTCCCTGCCCGTGGCGGCGGGTGGCACTGGGTGGGCTTTGAGGTCCATCCCAACCTTTTACCATTCCGTGATTCCATGAACAAGGCACAGTCACAGCGCAGTGCCCAAACTCAAGATGGCTCCTCCCTCAGCCTCACCTGCCCTACTCCAAGATGGCGGCCGCCGCTTCAGGCGCTGCTGCCACCGCCTGTCCTCCCTCCCCTTCCCCTGGTGCGGGAACCGCCGGAGCAGCGGCAGGAGCAGGGACGGAGCCGCCGCTTCCCCGAGGAGAAGGCGGAGAGCGCGGGAGAACCATAAAACCACCCCAGCGCCACAGCGACGCGCGGTGAGCGCTCCCGCTGGAAGCTTGTCCCCTCCCGGCGGCCGTACCGCCGTTCCCGCCTGAACGCGGTGTGGGCGTGGCGGCGGCGCCGGCCGCGAGGGGCCCCGCGGCCATGAAGGCGCTGCGGCGGCTGAGCCGGCACCGCACCGCGCTGGGGCTCGGCGGGCTCTCGTTCTGCGCCGCCGTCCTGCTCTACCTCGCCAAGTGCACCTCCGAGGGGCTGCGCCCGCTGCCCGCGGCCCCCGCGCTCCCGCACAGCCAGCCCGGCCGGGGGGCCCGCGCCGCGCCCCCGCCCGCCCCTGAGGGCAGCGCCTTGTTGGCCGTGGTGGTGATGAGCGGCCCCAAGTACAGCGAGCGGCGCAGCATCATCCGAAGCACCTGGATGGCGGCGGCGCGGCAGGCGCCTCACGGCCACGTCTGGAGCCGCTTCGTGGTGGGCACGGCGGGGCTGGGCGCCGAGGAGCTGCGGAGCCTGGAGCTGGAGCAGAGCCGCCACCGGGACCTGCTGCTGCTGCCGGAGCTGCGCGACTCGTACGAGAACCTCACGGCCAAGGTGCTGGCCACCTACGTGTGGCTGGACGCGCACCTGGACTTCCAGTTCGCCCTCAAGGCTGACGACGACACCTTCGTGCGCTTGGACGTGCTAGTGGAGGAGCTGAGGGCCAAGGAGCCGCGGCGCCTCTACTGGGGCTTCTTCTCGGGCCGCGGGAGGGTGAAATCCGGGGGCAAGTGGAAGGAGAGCGCTTGGCTGCTTTGCGATTATTACCTGCCCTACGCGCTGGGCGGCGGCTACGTGATCTCCGCCGACCTGGTGCGCTACCTGCGCCTCAGCAGGGACTACCTGAACCTGTGGCAGAGCGAGGACGTGTCCTTGGGGGTGTGGCTGGCGCCCATCGACGTGAAGAGAGTGCACGACCCCCGCTTCGACACCGAGTACAAATCGCGCGGCTGCAACAACAAATACATCGTGACTCACAAGCAGAGCATCGAGGACATGCTGGAGAAGCACCAGACGCTGGCGAAGGAAGGGAAGCTCTGTAAGGAAGAGGTGAAACTCAGGCTTTCCTACATGTACGACTGGGGAGTGCCTCCTTCCCAGTGCTGCCAGAGGAAGGATGGCATCCCCTGAAAGGCTCGGGGAGAAGCCTCAGGAGGATGGACTCTGCTTGCTGTTACACGGGGAGAATCCCAGTAAAATGGAATTCTTGCCTCAGTTTCTCCCTCAGAACATTGGGCCTAAGGCTTTGGGATGCAGGCCTGGCTGGATTTAGGGAAGAGCGGTTCATTTGAGTCAGGACTCCTGGAATCTCCCACTCCATATCCATGGACAGACTTCCCAAATCCCGGCCTGCCGCTGTGGATCCATCATTCCAGCAGAATTGAGCGGGAAGAGCTGCTAACATGGAATTTTTGTGGAAGGATGGCATCCCCTGAAAGCCTCGGGGAGAAGCCTCAGGAGGATGGACTCTGCTTGCTGTTACATGGAGGAGAATCCCATTGAAATGGAATTTTTGCCTCAGTTACTCCCTCAGAACATTGGGAACAAATCATTCCCCTCAGGCACTGATCCCAAAGGCTTTGGGATGCAGGCCTGGCTGGATTTAGGGAAGAGCAGTTCATTGGAGTCGGGGGTTAATTACTCTTAGGAAGATTTTGCACAGCTCATTCTGTCACCCCAGAGCTGCTGCTGTGGCACAGTTAGAGATGCTTAAAAAAAACCCCAAAACAGGTGACAGAAAGCACAGGAAAAGGTCAAACGCCAGGATTGGCAAATAAAATAAAATAAATATAAATAAAAGGTGACAAAACCCAGGGAGAAAATCAGAGGGAAAGAACTGGAATATGAAAAGTTTGAGCAGATTCTGAGGTTCATTTACTAAAGGCCATGCTGAGTTTTGATGTTGTTGAGACTGAGGTGAGGCTGCTGGTTATTCCTTGGCAAGGAAACACCAGTTTGGCGTGGAGGGAAGAGCCCAAACTGGGAACAGATGATTCCAGAGGGAACAGGTGATTGCTACAGGCAGGAAAAGGGATCAGCTTTTCCTGGGATCCCTGCAGGCAGAGCGCTCTGGAATGATGAAATCTGTTCATTTGTCTCTTTTTTGCTGCTTGACAGGCAATGTACATAAACCTCCTGGCAGCTCTGAAGGGATGTGGCTGAGTTTTGGCAGAAATCAAATTTATTCTGATTTTGGGACAGTCTTTGGCTTTGAAAAAGCCTCCAGGTGTTGTTTTGAGCTCATTTCCCTCCAAAACTCAAGAACTCCCTGGCTGCTCCAGGCCATTGCAGACTTTAAATTTAGATTTATTTTTAATGCAAATGAGCAGGAATTGATCAGTGGGAGTTCCAAAAACCATTTGCCCAAAGGTGGGGATTTAAGGCGTAAAAGTGAACTTGGTGTAGTCAAGAGAAAAATGTTCCCCCCACCCCAAAAATTCAGCTTTGAGAACTTTATTTCTCTTTTCAGCACACTAAAAAATCCCAATTAGGTGCTAAAAAAAAAGCTGAGGGAATTCCCTCCTTCTCTCTCAAAATTCCTTGTAGAGGAACTAAAATGGAATTAATTGGCAGTGACACATCCACAAATTGCATTTTTCCCTCAGTCCTGGCTACACCAAAATAATCAGAGCTCACACAGGTCTCAGACATCATTGATTTATCTCCAAACCTGGAATTCCGACATTTTTCACTGGCAGCTGCTCCAAAATTTTTCCAGTCCCCTGTCCCAGCCGCGGCTCTTGCGGCGTGAGCGGTTTTTACTTTGTAAATGTAAAATTCCATTTTTTCAGTGTCTTTTTTTGTGATTTCTTTGGTGTTTGTTGCACTCTGCACTTTCATTCCCGTCCCATTCCCTCCTCCCCAACTCTGGCTGGAAGAGACAAAAGGCAAAGAAAAATTGAAAATTCAAGAAGTGCCAATTTCTCTTTCTTTTTTGCTTCTTAGCAAAATTAGGAATTTTAGGAATGCCAAAGGGATCAATTCTGTTGGGTTTTTTTTTTTGTTATTCTCTTGTTTTGATTAATTAATTATTGAAGATTAAAAATCTTCAGAAATCTGCTTTGAAAATTTCAAGGCTATGACTTCCTCCTAAAAAAAAAACTAAAATCCTGCAAAAACTCAATTATTTTTGCATGTCAAACTCAACTATTATGATTATAATAATTATAATTATCTTTATAATGCATGCTTAGGGATTACCAGGGAGTCTTTTTTTCCCAAAATATTCTATTCCAGACCAGGAATTTTCCAGGATGACAGCAAATTCCAGTTTTTTAAACATCCATTTGCCATCTGAGGTTCGTTAATGTTGTCTGTATTGTGATAAATTACCTGTAATGTGAATATTTATTTATAATTATATTTATTTATAATTCTTGCCAGTGTATTCTCTTTATTTTCCCAGGAAAATTAAAAATAAATCCATTTATTCCCAGAATAACATCAATTTTCCCGTTATTTTATCCACTTTTCCCCTTTATTTTCCCTGGAAAATTCCACCTGGGAAGCAAAATCAGCTGAGGAGGCAGCCAAATTATTTTAAAGGGAATTTTTTCCCCCTGATTTCCTTGGAATCTTTAATCTCCGCCATTCCAATATTTTTAAAATCGATTTTCCTCCAAATTTCAAACATTGAAAGAACTCAAACTTCCCTCAAAAATTAAATTAATCCCATTTTTTCCATAAATAATTTGGAATAACTCTGGGATTTTGCTGTTGAAGAAAGGGTTCCTTATAGAATTTATTCCCAAATTTTTCTGCCTGTCCCAGGCAGTCGCTAGATGTCACTCCAAGCCTTTGGAAGCCTGAATTACTTAAAAAACTGGGAATTTAACTGTCCAAACCCCAGTGTTCATGACTAAAATCGGGTGGTGTTCTCTGATTTTAACATAAAATAATTGGGAAAAAAGGGAAAGGAAAAAATTTTCCAATTAAAAAATGGAATTATGAGGGAATTATCGAGGATGGAACCACTGTATTTTTCCATGGAATGAATGGGAAATTCATGTGGAAATCTAAAGAGAAACCTCTGTGGAAGCCCAAAAAAAAAGCCCCCCAAATTCAGGAAAAATTAATAAAATGAATAAAATTTAATTAAACTCAATAAAAACATTCAGAGATTTTTTTTTTTTTTTTTTATGGAACAACTGAACCCAAAATCCCAGTCCCTGTGTCCCTGTTTAATCAAGAATTTTTGGGGTTTCCTCAGCTGAAAATTCCATGGATTTGAGCTGGGAAATTTCATTTTCCAAAGGGAAACCGTTCCCTGGAATTTCCAAAGGATTTTAATTCCCAAACCTGGACCCCTCCTCCAATTTTTGGGCTGATTAAAAACTGCGTAGGAATTACAAAAATTCCTATGAAAAATTATTTATACTCTAGGAGCTTCCTGAGGGATTTTTTCTGGGACTGGGAACCAATTCCTCTTTATTTTTAGTGGATTAGGAACCAATTCCTCTTTATTTTTAGTGGGAAGATTCACTTGGATTAGGTGCTGGAATTTAGGGAAAAATTAGAATTTTGTTATATTTGAGGAACTTCTCCACATGGAAAATGTGGAAAACATGGAAAAACATGGAAAAATCTGGACACTGCTCCAAGTTTTGAGGAAAACTCAGAAATCCGCGATCCCACAGATTCCAAGAGCTCTGGAGATGCCAAGGCCACCACCAGGATGTCCCCAAAAAGTTGGGAATGAGGCGGAAGAACCTCTACTCACGGAAAATGTGGAAAGAATGAGGAAAAATCCAGGGACTGCTCCAAGTTTTGAGGAAAGCTCAGAAATCCACAATCCCATGGATGCCAAGAGCTCTGGAAAGAGCGAAGGAATATTGAGGAAGTTGGGAAGGAGCGTCCCCTCCTGGAAAACCACAGTTCCTGCTTTGGATTTTCCCACTTTCTGGTGGTCCCTGTCATTCCCTGCTTCTCTTAACAGCCAAAATCCCGGGAATGTGAGCCCTGTTTATTTTCCACTCTCCAGCTCTGGCCAAGTGGAGCAGCTCCCACAAAGCACAAGATCCAGGGGGAACAAAAAAGGCTGGGAAATGAGTAATTCCCTAGCTTTGAAATCAAGGAAAGCGTCGTTGTTGCTGGTGATCGATGGATTTGGGATGGTGCCAAAGGGCTTGGAATCGTCACGGCGCAAACCGCTGGAAAAAACATTTATCCAGAGCTGATCCTGCCCGGGAGAATTCCAAATATTTACTTTAGATGTTGACTTTAGGGAAGGACTCGAGCCAGGATCGTGGATTTGGATCTGCCAAATCCCGACGGTTGAGGTGCTAAGAGCTGGAATTTGGGGCCAATCCGTCTGATTTTATCTTGGTTAATCATTTCTCCTTTTTCCATGCCCTGATCCCACAAAAATGAGCGTCCTGCTCACCCTTGGGAATGTGCTGGGCTGGATCCAGGCGGGATCCATGGCTTTACTAAACTCAGTTCCCAGACCAGGATTAATTTTGGAGTTTTTTGCGGTTTCCTGGGTGATTTTTCCTGGGATTTGCAGTTCCCGCTGTCCCTTCCCAAATCCTGCTGCAAAAAAACATCCGGAGAACCTTCAGCCCCGCCGGGATTTTCCCAATTGGAGGTGCTGTGCGCAATAACTCGGAAAACTTGGAGTTACCCTGCTTTCCTTTCCCATTCCCAACTTTAATTCCATAGGGATTCCTGGCTAGGAAGGAGTTCTGGGTTTTTCCTCCTGTTCTGCGGCGTGGGGGTCACTCAGCTGCTCCCTGGAATCTTGGAATGAAGGCTGGAAAAACCTTCCAAGATGTGAATCCAAGCAGGAACCCGCTAACCTGTGTCCCCAGTGCCACATCCGGGAAGTTTTGGGATCCACAGGTTTTTGGGACACTTCCAGGGATCAGTGCTTCCCTGGGCAGCCCATTCCAGTGGCTGACCACCATTTTAGGGAGGAAATATTCCCAAATATCCAACCTAATCCCAGCCTGGTGCTGTGGATCCCTAATTCCAAAGGAATTGAGTGGGAAGAGATGATGAAATGGAATTTTTGCCTCAGTTTCTCCCTCAGAACATTGGGAATATTGTTCCCCTCAGGTGCCGATCCCAAAGGCTTTGGGATGCAGGCCTGGCTGGATTTAGGGAAGAGCGGTTCATTGGAGTCAGGTCCTGGAGTCTCCCACTCCATTTCCAAGGACAGACTTCCCAAATCCCCGCCTGGTGCTGTGGATCCCTAATTCCAAAGGAATTGAGTGGGAAGAGCTGCTAAAATGGAATTCTTGCCTCAGTTTCTCTCTCAGAACATTGGGCCTACGGCTTTGGGATGCAGGCCTGGCTGGATTTCGGGAAGAGCCTGTCCCACTGTACAAAATTCCAGTCTGGCTCCTGAAGAGCTCCGAAGGCCGCGGCTGGGAGGTTTCCGAGGACAGGGAGAGGGATAAGCAAACAAGAAGCGGGATCCGATTTCTCCGGAGTGGCGGGAGGAGATAATTGGAGTCTCCGAGAGCTGCTGATAAGATCAGACTCCGTTGCTATTTTCAGGCTCAGACAGCAGCACTGGAGACACCGAAATAAATCCTAAAACCTGAGCCCGGGGAGCTGCGGGCTCCCGAGGAGTTCTGGCTCCAAGGAAATCCATAAATATTGCGAGGTGTGGGATACCGGGATCGGCGGGGCCCGGCTTCCCCTGGGGCACCTCAGGGGGGGCAGCTGCGGGAGAACTGAGGGGAAAAGGAGGAATTAAGGGGGAAACAACTTGGCTTGAATTCCAAGAGGGATTTTATCTTCATTGGAGTGTCCCAGCAGCAGCTCCGGGCTGCAATTCCTTCTGGGAAGGAGGCAGGGAATAAACAGAGCCGAGTTTGGCAGGATGGGAAAGCAATTCCTGGCTGGAGCCAGGGGCTCCCGAGGGCGTCTGATCCGGCAGCAGCTCCAGGTGGAACCTCAGGCATCACCTGGGGGAAGAGAAAATAAACCTGGGATAGAAAACCTGGAGAGGGATGGATTCCAAGCTAAAAATTCCTGTGGGAATTTGGGGACAGATCCAAGCTCTCCGCAGCCGTGGGAGGACAATGGGCGCAGCCACATGGGAGGGGTTCAAAGTGGATTTAAAGGAATTTTCCTCATCATTCCCACACTGAATTATTGGCTCAGCTTGCCCAGAGAGGCTCTGGAACATTCCAACATTGGAAATTTTCAAATCCACGTGGAGAAATCCCTGAATAACCGGCTCTGCTCCCACCTCCAGTGGTTTTCCAGGGTCAATTATCCCAGGATTGGAAGCAATCCTGCCTCCTCTCGGCCCTGGATGTGCCAGGGTGGCAGAGGAGGGGATGCCCCAGCAATGGGAATGCTTGGGATAATCCCATTTTCCCTTGCTTTGGGTCACCCCATCCATGTGGATCCGGTCATTCCCTGCTCCTGACAGTTGTTTATCTCAAAACATTTGGCTCTCGATGCATTCCAGATGAAATCCGACATCAAAGGCCCAACATTTCCTTCCCTCCCTCTGCATTCCCTTCCGTGGCTTGTATTGATCAGGGATTTCTCCGTGGATTGGGAAGGGCAGCTCAGAAGGAAAAGGAAAGGCAGGAGCCGGAGCAGGTTGGGAATGGCTGCAAATTCCTGGATCAGGGATTCAGGAGAGGCTGAGTTAGCAGCAGCAGGAGGGTGGGATTATGCAGAAAAAACAGGAAATTTAGGAATATTAACCAGGAAGGTTAATGAGAATTTACCTGATTAATGGGAAGGTCCTTGCCAATGGGATGGAAATTCCAGGCCGGTTCTCCCAGGAATTCTGGAGCCAAAGGGAGCTGCTTCCATTTCATCCAGACCCTAAATGGGGCTCCCATCACCAGGGCACCCCCAGGCTTGCCCTCCCTCACAGCATCCCTGCTGGAAAGATTCCTGGGTTTGGGAAAAGCTCCCTGGATCTCAGGGAAGGCTCCTTCCCAGAGGAAGAGCAGGATCCTCAGGGAACAGCACATTCCCAGGGCTGCCAGAGCTCTGGGACTTTTTGGACAACGCTCCCAGCTGGGATTTTGGGGTGTCCTGGGCAGGGATAAGAGCTGGTCTC